GACGAGGATAGCCCAGGTGTGACACCCGTGGTGTGAAGAGCCCGAGAGAAACGAGTGGTTGTACTCAGCTTGCCCATCTCAGTATATAAGAGAGGTCTGGTTTGTGTGTGCGTGCTTAATGTTATTCTATTTGTTGCTTGCGCTGACTTTTTTTGTTTACCAGCGTGTATGAGTGGACTCCGAAATTTGTTGCTGTATACGCCGCGCACAAAAACAAATTACCACCTTAACAGCTTATGGCTGGAAGTTTATTTGTATTGACGTGTTTGAGTGGGCACACACACACACACACACACACACACACACACACACACACACACACACACACACACACACAGCTGCACATAGACTCACAGCTGGGTGAAAGAGTCTTGCTGTCAAATGTATTCAGGGTGAGAATATGAATTTTAAAATGTGACGCCTGTGCATGAATATTATAAACAATTTCACCAGGGTGCGTCCACACACACACACACACACACACACACACACACACACACACAGAGGCCTCAGTGAGTTTTATTGATATAGTTATTTATTGATATTTTCTAAACTAAATAAAAGATTTTAGACGTTTAGTGGCTTTAATTACAGAAACACGTGTCTCATCAGGTTTTGGACAAAGCTCAGTGTCTTTGACCCTCTGAGGTCGGGTTAGTGTTATGGATGTTTCTATTAATATCTTTGCGATAATAAAGAGCAGAAATATGATTTAAATGTTGATAGAATCTGTCGACTCTCCACTTTCTGTTTCACATCCTTGTCAGATCGTCTGTGACTCAGAGCTGCAGCTAGAAGGTCTCTAAGCAGAGTGACAGACAAACACGTTCATCTACTATTTCTCTCACATGTTGCTCTATTTTTAGGAACCTAACACTTTGGCGAACACGTTTCAAGCACCAAAACAATTCATCAGTCAAGCTTTGTTTTCACCAGAGATTTGAATTTCAGCATTTGAGCCAAACGATGTCTTTGCACAGTGAGAGTTAAATAAGGAGCCTCGTTATAGAAAGAGCTGAGATTGTTCTGAAAATTGTGATATACAGTAAAACTCTTGGGTATTATCTCATATGCAAGTATCCTAAAAAATAATGTCGGAGCGGAGAAAATACCCTCAGACCTCGGAGGGTTAAACGTCCACACCAGTGAGTCTGTCGTTGAAGGACTCGTTCAGACGGTCATCGTCACAGAGCTGACCCTCCACAGCTCTCAGCCGCACACCAGCAGCATCACTCCCGCTCTGTCTGACTCTCTCCCTTCGTCCTCTCATCTCTCACATCTTCATGCTTCAGCTCCTTTATCACCACATCACTACAGCCCTGTGCCATTGTCTCTCTCTCTCTCTCACACACACATCCGTTTGAACAGGTAAAATGAGTCCAACAGCTTCTCAGTATTCACTTTCCCCAGAGCAGCCGTCTTTCATCCCTCTCTTCTCCCGCCCTGTGGTCGTCGCTCTGTCTCTGACCTTTTTCCCGTCCTGTGAGTTAAAAACACAAACACTCCCCTGGGGGCTTCCTCTTTTCTCTGCATGTTTTGAAGCAGATTCAGAAGAACCCCGAGATACACGTGAGACTTTCGCTCGTGCTGAAACATGACGACTCAACAAATCCATCCGTCTGCACGCACAGACGTGGACGACAAATCCTCATTCGACAAATGCAGGGATACGAGTATTGACACGCTTTATTTACGTAGGAGTAACGTTACCACGATGTCGTCCACTCACGTTAGTGTTTTCATCGACTGACACCTGACGACTGCGTCGCACTCCTCCAGCTGTACATTATATTATTGGATTATGGTTACTATTATTTTTCTGAGCTCATCATGTTTCTGGATTTAAAATCGTGACCTTCAGAGTGACTCAAAACATCTGTCCAATAAATATAGAGCAGAAAGAAATATAATATTTTCACTGAAATGTAGTGAAGTATAAATAGAAATACTCAAATACTTTCACTGACTCACTACATAAGTCACTTTTCAGTGTCAGTGACTTTCCAGAAAACAAAGGTCCGGCTCTGGTTGAGTTTCTCTACTGGTGTAAGATCAAAACATCATTATAGTTCAAACCAACAACACAGACAAGAGCTCTGTCTGAATTATTAATATTTGTGTCAGATTGAGCACAAATTTTATTTTGCAGAAATAATTATCTTGCAACAGATAATTCAATTTGACTAAAAATCAAGAGCTGAAATGAATAAATGTGTCTTCATGTTTTCTGTTATCCACATACGAGAATAAATAATAAACTCTCTCACTCAGTTTTACTTTTTACTGCTGTTACTGGGAGGTTTTCTTCATCTGTGGAAAAAGCAGTTCACCTTGTGAGGACTTGAAGGACTCGGGCTGAAAATAATCATTTCAATACCCTGTTTCATTTATTTCATTGTTTATTTCACTAAAAGAAAAGAACGTCTTCATCCAGGAAGGTCAAAGTGAACGATCAAGTGAGTAGAGTTTCAGAGTCTCGCTCCAGGACACTTCAGTGTGTATGCAGTACAGATGTTTGCCAACATCTGCCTGTACTCATGTCACCTCTGGGAAACTTCAAGACAAAACGGCAAACATTTCTTTTGACAGTTTGACCTGCATCTGGTGAAGACGGCCAACAACGGATCAGAGATATCTCCGAAACAATCGCCTGACTCAGGTTTACGTTTCCCTCTGGGTTGATGGGGGTGAAACTGCGGCGAGAGACGCCCTGCGTTCTCGCGGCGTGGTGGGCGGCTCGGTGAGGTGTAACGGCTGTCCTCCTCGTCTGCTTCTCATCTTCCCCTGGAAGCTTGAGACGAGATCCGGTAATGACAGGATTTTAAAGGAGCCCCCACGGCACAACTCTTAACACCCAATAGGCTGGCCGGTCACACACTCCCCTTCACACACACACACACACACACACACACACACACAGTTCTCTGTATTAGAATTAGCTGTTGGCTGAGCTCCAGTCACATCCGCTCAATATCCCACCCTTCCAAAAACCTCCCTTCTCATTGTTCACTGGAGGCCGCACATCGCCACAGTCATAGTTGTGTCACAGCGATCAATCACCCATCAATGTGAAAGGGCTAAACCAATACAGAGGAAACACAACACAACCCCCCCCCCAAACTCCTCCCTTACTATCACCTGACATCTGTGCTTCTGAATCTCCATCCTATCGCCTGAACCTCCATCCGGTCCTCGCTCCCTCTCTTCCTCTCCACCGCTACGTCGCTCGCTCCCTCGTTGGTTTCAAACAGACATCACACCCATTATCACCTCGCTGTGATTCAGACACTTGATTCATTACCCAGCTGGTGACCTCCTCACACGTATGCAGGAAAACTCACACAAGCACATTCACACGTTCGCTCACACACAGAAACACTGATGTGATGCAGATTTCAAACGCAGCGCTGCGAGTCGTCACCAGGACTAACAGTGAAACCTTCGAATCATCTTCCTGGTTATCAAACATGTTATTACCCAATAATCACACCTTTTCAGTCGCCTTCATTCCAACTCATTACTGCGACTTTTACACTTTCTTTTGGAGTTTTATGGTCAATAAACCTCGTTTACATAAAAATACACCTCGTTTTTGAGTAAAAAAGAACTAAAAACGACATTTAGAATTATTTTGATTATAGTTACGATCAGACGAACGTGTTGATGGATTATCACAGACAGGTACAGCTCAAAGTTTAGTCAGGATACTGTTTTCAAACCATTTCAATAGTGTGACCCGTTGTGTCCTAAAATATGTGTTTTGTAAACAATGTTTTTGGTTTTGAGGTGATGTATTATGCTGAATTACAGGCCCGGCTAGCTCAGTCGGTAGAGCATGAGACTCTTAATCTCAGGGTCGTGGGTTCGAGCCCCACGTTGGGCGATATAGGTTTTAGAAGGATCCGTACAAGAATGGGAAACGAGCTACAAAGCATCTTCTTTTCTGAGAGGGTACATGTAAGTACAACTCGCAAGGCCCTCTAGGGCCGTCCCGTTGTAGAAAACCACAGTTGCTATGAATTTGAATAAAAACTCCCACAATTGTATGAAAATATTGATCATTAATTAGGTTTGTAGTGAGGAACCATACATGTTATTTTCAGGCAATTTACGTGAAAGAAAACTTGTCAAATTTGACCCGAGGACAACAGGAGGGTTAAGCTAGCTAAAACATAGGTTGACCACATGTTAATTAAACCACGCCTCATCTTCTTTTACTACATTATGTCAGGGTGTAGACAAGAGGTTATGATATAATAATACGGCCTCTGAGCAGCACTATGTCTTCAGGGAAGACTGAAGGCTACAGCTAGTTAGCGTGCTAACTTCAGTAGAAGAAGAGTTAACAATGGTGTTGCTTTCCACCGCCAGAGGAATTTAATATTTGATCTGATTCTTGTCCCTTATGTCAATCATTTAGAAGATGGTCTGAAATGTGAAGAAGTAGTTCAACATTTTAAGAAGTGCACTCAATCACTTGCCAAGAGTTAGATGAGAAGATTGATACTACTTTCATATCTGTAGGAATCAGCAGCCAGTTAGCTTAGCTTAGCATAAAGACTGGAAACGGAGGGAAACAGCTAGCATGGCTTTGTCCAAATCTCCCTGACTAATAATGTTATATCAAAGTTGTTTTTACATTTTAATTTTTGTAAAGATTTAACAAACAAGATAAAACATGTTTATTAAAATTTAGAGGCACTGACTGGCACATTTTGTTATTTCCTGTTTCCAGTCTTTATCCTAAGTTAAGCTAACCTGCTAAATGTCACTCAGACAGATCAGACAACGCTGCTACATCCAGACGTCCTGTCATCCGTCCACATTCAGCAGTTCAAAGCAAATCACATGAAATTAAATCAACACCACGATAATTGTTAGCGACATCATCATCATCCTCTAATTCACTGCTAATCATGATCACATCCATTATCTAACCATTAATGATCACCGCCTTCCCGCCCAATATCACGACCATGCGCTCTCCTCTCGGTTCCTACCTGGAGTTGGTCATGTCCGTCTGTCCTCCCTGACTCTTCTCCAGCCCGAGCTTGGTGAAAATCCCCACCAACACCATGATGGCCACCACTCCACAGATAATATACACGATCATGTGGGTCCGATCCCGGTCGGGCTCCTCCTGGACCTCTGTGACGGGTGCCGCCGGTTTCCCGGTGTTGGCCCACACAGGTGTGTCATAGTTGGAGCAGGAAGTCTGGTCCAGACTGTGAACTTTGAACTGGCAGCAGAAGCGGTAGAAGCAGGAGCCGCAACAGAACATGTAGATACCTGCGTTACAGTTGAAGGGCGGGTCCCACTGGCCCATGACGTCATAGTAACCCCAGCATCGGTTACCGCTACTTGGAACCGTTTGGTCCTCGGTGTCTGGCGTGGGCGTGGCCAGGGCGGCCTCCGGCAACACGGAGGGCTCCGTTGTCTGGTTGTTGGTGGGGACCTGGGCCGAAGCCTGACCCGAGGGCCGCGAGCTCAGTCCACCCAGAGAGGTCAGACCCAGGAGGACGGCCAGCGAGAAGCTTATCAAGACCGGATGCACGGAGGCGGCCATCTTGAACTTACTCCAATGTCTCGTGATGGCTCAGTGCTGATGTGTAATTGTTAATGAGAGGCCCAAATTAAAGCTCCTAGGTTTAAAAAAACAAACAAAGAAATAGAAAGTTAAATACGTCCAGAGCTGGAAATTATAGACAGTGAATCAATCTGAGCTTTTAGCTAGAACAGAAAACACTGAGATAACAGTTGTGACAACTAGAGGGAGTTAACCCTACAGGATATTCATGCCTGGAAGAAAAAAAAAAAAAAAAACAGCATTTAATTAGTGTTGTGGGACTCATTACCGCACACAGTTACAGAAGACTAAACTGTCGTCAAAGGGCAGAGGAAGAAGCGAGGGAAAGAAATCAATCTCCCATCTCAACATGCTCCTAACAGGAGTGAATGAATCCCTTGTGAGCAGGCGCTCACATGCACAGACACATCACAGTCCCTGGCAGTCTACTGTATGTGTGTAGGTGTGTGTGTGTGTGTGTGTGTGTGTTTATCAAAGAGAATAAATATTCTAAAATTCAGGAAGTGTCACCTTTCACAAAGCCATATGTCATGAGCAGACAGCAGAGGCGGTTGTAGACAAATCCAGATCTGGAGGCTTGGAGGAAATCCAGTTTAGGAGGGCGTGTTACCTATGAATGAACTTGCCTCTGGCATTTCTAGCATTTGCAGCTCCCCTGCTGAGTGGATGAATAATCCGAGGAAAGTGAGAACACTGGGTTCCTGACGGAGCTGCCACACAATAAAAAAAAAAAGCGACAGTCACGGGCTCCCAACGTGAACGGCTTCTCACTCCACAGACGGACTCATATTCCTGAGTGGATAACAACTCTGAAGCTCAAGTCTGGAGTCGGATCAGTTCTGGTGTCCAGGAAGAACTCGGAGTTTAACTCGCATCTATCACCCTCCTACTCTCAGTGTCACTGTTCAAAGGAAGCTTTTTTATTTTTGTGGTGGGCATCTTTTCGCTGCCACCTTGCTCCACTTTGGTGAATGTTACTCCCTCCTTGAGAAGTGTAGTTCCACTCTTTCAGCCCCTGGTGTCTTTATGAGTGATATTAAATATTCAGCTTTTATTTTGGAAGGATTATGTAGGATAGTTCCTTCCTATTTCCAGCCACAGACACAACAGGTAAAAACAGCTGCTCAGTGCTCTTTAAAACATTACTCCGGGCTCTTGTCGGGCTGAAATCCTATGGTGATTACAGAGTCCAGAAGCGTCCCTCTTGCACCTGAGGCGTGTTTTCTCTCACGCACACGCACACGCACGCACGCACACGCTCTCATGCACACACACACACTCACAAACAGCTCAGATCCCCCTGGTGACAGCGCTCTGTCAGTGTCACACACAAGGAGTCCAATGGCTTTGTGCGCTGGCCGTGTGCAGGGCTCCTGTTGCTGCTGCTCCGTGCACACTCTGCACTGACACCCCCTCCGTCCCCCCCCCCTGCAGATCCCGGGGTCTCTAACAGACCCAGGACACCAGCTGGGTACTCTGTCTATCAGCCTGCTCAGTCCTGCCCTACAAGTGCTAAGACTAAGGGGAGAGGAGAGAGGATGAGGGAGAGAGAGAGAGAGAGAGAGAGAGAGAGAGAGAGAGAGAGGGGGGAGGGCTGATGTGGTGATACTGAATCTGTGATCTTAATGTCTTAGTGCTGCTGCATCCAACAGGAGCTGTAAAAAAAAAAAGAAAAAGAGAAACGTGCTGCTTGACCAGAGTGGAGCGTCCCACATAACGGAGGGATCTTTGATGCTTCAGTCTCTCTGTTCACGCTCTGAGAGAAATCTCTCTCCTCCTCCTCCTCCTCTCTCTCTCTCTCTCTCTCTCTCTCTCGCTCTCTCTCCCACAACTTACCTCACCCTCTCCTCTCAAGCCCTGAGGAAATATCAGCTTGGGGGTCAGGGAGCCCGTGGACTGCCCTCTGCACTTTCAGCGGCGCTGGAATAATACTCCCCCAGCCCGCTCGGACGAGACAAGTGGAGATGCGACAGCCAAACGGCGGCGTGGCACCGAGGGCAGATCAGAAAATATCCTGTTTTCAAAAAGAAGCCCCCCCCTTTTGGAAATATTGGACTGTCTGCAGCAGCAGCTCTTTGTTGTTGTTGTTGTTGTTGTTGATGTTGTTGCTTCAACAACTCAGTTGCCAGTTTTTCCAATTTTCCATTTGCATCAATGTATTTTTTTGTCTTTTTTTTTTTTTCTCCCACTGAGCAAAAAAAAAAAAATCGACAAAAAAATCTCAAATCTTTGATATGCAACAGTTTTTAAGCAAATGCTGCAAATTATCTCCCAATTTGGATTCACTTTGTTGTCAATTCAGTCCTTGTCCGGCTGCAGCTTCTTTGAAAACAGGCATAATTTGATATATATGTATAGGAATTTTATATATATATCATATGTATGTGTTTTCACTGGTGCTCTGCTTGTGGGATGCTCCAAACAGAAGTGTGAAGAGCAAAGGAAAAGCAATAAAATGCTTTTTGTTTTCCTTTTTTCTTTTTTTTTTTTTATTCCATCCTCCTTTGTTGCTGCTGCTTCTTCATCAGAGAGTATTCCTGTAATTTCCTCGCCTCCGTCTGCTCAGTGCGTCTGAATCCCGTCCGCTGGTGATGTTTTTCTTGCTGCTGCTGCTGCTGCTGCTGCTGCTGGTCTCTGGCAGGACTGGATGACAATGTCTCACACACACACACACACACACACACACTATCTCTCTCTCTTTTTCTCTCACTCCTCCCTCTTCCAACTCACTCCTCCCTCTCTCGCTCACTCCTCCCCTCTCTTTCTCACACACACTCACTCACTCACTCTCGTCTTTCGTGAGCGAATGAGCGCTTGCTGACTCTCCCTTTCACTCTCCCTCCTCATCACTGACACTCTCACTTTTCTTTTTGGCTCCTGACTATCGCTCCTTGTCCTTTTTCCATCATGTTCCCTCCATCCCCCATCCTCTTTCTTTTTTTTTTTTATCCGTTCATCTCCATTTACTTCCTGTCTGTCTAACCTTTTCAGTTTGCTTTGGCTGCCTCCCCTGCCCTATACCTTCTTTTATCCAAGCTTTTATCCTCTCTCTCTTTTTCATCCCCGTCTCTCCGGTGCCACTTTCATTTTTCCCAAAATGCCTGCCAGTCCAACAAATGAGAGCGTCAGTGCTGACTGAGCGGCAGGTTGTGATACAGTACAGTCATACATTTGTGATGCATGTTCGTGTGTGTGTGTGATGCATGTTCGTGTGTGTGTGTGTGTGTGTGTGTGTGTGTGTGCGTAATTTCTGAGCTAATACCCCCACACATCCTCGTCTTTGTGTGAGCATGTCTGGAACATGTGTGGTGCTGCAGTCTATTGGGGCTGATTTAGGGAGAGCGAGAGAGAGAGAGCGAGAGCGAGAGAGCAAGGGGATGGATGGAGGGAAGCAGGCAGTGAGAGTGAGATAAACAGAGAGGAAGAGGAGGGCAGGAAGAGAGGGAGGGAGGAGGACAGCGGAGCGTCTTCCAAAAAAGAGGGGGGAGAAAGGGAAGGGGCTTGACAGAAGAGGAGCAGGGGGTGGGGAGGGAAAGAGGAGAGGAATTATGGCAGGGAAGGGAGGGGGATTAAGAAACGTGGGGATTGCAAGTGCAATAGGAACTGACAGAGGGATAGTGGGAGGGAGTGGGGGAAAGATATAGATAGGAAGGAAGTGCAGACAGGTAGGAGGAAATCTCAGGGGAAAGTGACACATTAGACCCAGAGAGGAAGAGACGGGGGAAGATTATTCAGAGAGGACAGAGACTGAAGACAGAGATAAAGAAAACATTGTGAATTTTAAATAATCTCAGATAAAATGTTGAACGTGAACTAAATTTGAAATGATAATCATATGAAGGAGAGGTGGTGCCTTTGGGTGGGTCCGGCTCACGGTCAGACCCTCGTCAGAAACCGGAGAGGAAAAGCAGCGGGAGAAAAAACGGCTTAATATTTTACTCTGTTTTTAATATCTTAAATATTCATTTTTCAAACTTTAATCTCCTTTTTTTTTTTAAAATCTTTTCTCCTCATGTGAAACCCGGACGTGTTTGTTCTCCGCTCGCTGTTCGTCGGCCTGAAGTCGCTCACAGTAAAATCTCTGGCAAAGTGCATCAGGAGTTACGTCAAGAAAAGCACATACGTGTGCAAAACCAACGCACACCAACATGTGCCAACACACACTAAACACTACAGTTATGTGATGCGCCACAAATCAGCTAATCCCCCCCCCCCCAGTCTGACATTAAAGAGCCCTCAGCACATTTTCTCTAATGGAAAACAAGGTCCTTCATTTAGAAAAAGTCATCAAAGTTGCCGTGAATGAAGACGGATCCACCATCGAGGTACACAAGAAGGGCAGTGAGACTCGGGGGGGCAGGGGTGTCGGCTCAAAAGCAAAACGAGAGGGAGAGAGGGATGAAAGGGACGGAGAGGCAGAGAGATGGAAAGAGAGGAGGAGTCCTGGGGGAGAGATGGAGGGCAGAGAGTCCAGACCGAATGGGAGATCTGCTTTAAATCATTTCACTCTCTCTCTCTCTCTCTCTCCTGCTCGTCTCACGGTAGTTTCATATGTTAATATCATCTACGATCTGTTTATGTCACAATAAACGGAGTGGATTGTCTCTTCGTCTGAATTATCCGTCTTAAAATTGTTTTTTAGGCTTTTGGAGCTTCTCCCACTCAGCTGCTCATAATCAGAGGAAAAGCAATATGTGTGGCATCACGGCCAGTTGGCACCAACATTCAAAACAATGAAATCTGCATTGATTTCAATTGATTTCCAATGAAATCTCTCACTTTTATTCTAGCCAACAATGCTATTTACACCTGCTGTGGATGACAAATGTGGCTATTTACACCTGGGTTTTAGGCTCTCCTGGACTACTTCGTACTTGGTCACAAAAACCTGCTAAAACCCGCTAACATCAGGCTTTTGTCGGCAGTGTGAATCGGTATAACTGGCATCCACTCCCGGGTCAAATGACTCTGCGGTAGTT